TTTTTTTTTTTTTTTTTTGAGGAATTTCTGTAAATAATTTATTCTACGTAAGTTAACGCTAGTGGATTTAAATGCAGTAAACTTTAACGAGCTAAAATAAAAAGTAATTTTACGATAAAATTAAAGTTATTCTGTACAAGGAATGAGTTAGCTCAGAAAACCAGAACGAATATTATTCATTCATTTTACGTGTGTATTTGTGCAATATTTTACATTTTTGAGTAATAAATATATTTTTAAGATATGACCGTATCATACATGAGCATATCATGTATGACCATATCATGTATGACCGTATCATGTATGACCATATCATGTATGACCGTATCATACATGAGCATATCATGTATGACCATAGCATGTATGACCATATCATGTATGACCATATCATGTATGACCGTATCATAGATGACCATATCATATTATGTGTACTTTTGGCTAGTTAGCATAGTTCTATTCTATTTTTTGCAATAAAAAGATAATTAAAAAAAATTTACACTTAAAAGTTTTTGATAATTAATTTGCAATTTATGAATACTATTGGGGTTAAACTTTAAACACATGCCGAGATTTATTTTAATTAGTTGAATAATTCATTTTTTGCAGCTGACTGACTACTCATTAATTGTAAGATTAAGCTTGAGGCAGCAAAGAATTCAACTAAGAAACGAATGTACTGCTGTTTAGTCAATATTTAATTAAATATTAAGTATAATAAAGCAAAAATAATTAAGGGTATGACAGATGGCGTTGCAATGTTGACGAGGGCTAAGGAAAATTTAATTTTTACAATGAGTGCTTTATCAGAAAATGAACGCATTGCATTATCACAGTCAAAACGTGAATTTATTGAAATGTGTTCATTTAATGGCAAACAATGCGACATTGGTATGATTGATTTTAAATTATTATTCTTATTATAAATTTGAACTTTGAACTTGCTAATTTTATTTTAATTTCGATAAAGAAGTGACCTTTCAAAGTACTGAAAAAAAAAGGAAATATTTAAACAAGTATGCTAAATGACTGCAAGAATTTATTATTCAAGTAGTTACGTAAGTAAAAGCTAACTTTAAAATATGTTAAAGCATTCAGAAATTTAAAGAAAAATTTAAATTAAAAAAATATGGTTAATTATTAGTTAAATATTTGCATACTTTGAATGGGTTGATTATATTAGATTACAGAATCTGATTTTAAACTCCATGTTGATCCAGAATTCGGTAATTGCTACACATTTAATTGTAATGGAAGTAGTAATCACACAAGCAGTAAAGCTGGTCCCATGTATGGTTAGTCTTTTGATAACATACTTGATTAAGACAGACTTGATCAGTTTTGAATTTTTTTTTCGAGTTAAATAATATTTAATTATTTAAAATTTAAACTAGATGCAATTTTTGATCTCTTTTTTACCTGTATATTTAAATTATTTTTAAATTTGTCTAAATAGTTTTCAATAATTATATCACTTTTACTCTAAAGTAAGCTATCTTCATGTAATTATGTGCATTAATTTTTCATAGGTATACGAGTACTATTATTTGTGAATACAACAGATTACATGTCAACATCAGAAGCTGCTGGAATACGATTAGCAGTTCACAGTCAGACAGATTTCCCATTTCCGGATACATTCGGATACAGTGCTCCAGTTGGCTTTGCTTCTTCCTTTGGTCTAAAAAAAGTATTACACTTAGCACTAACTTCTCCTAAGATAATTAATAAGACAAAAAAACAAATAATAATTTGCAGTAATTAATTTGGTTTTAATTAATTAATTTGATTTTAATTTGAAAACAACTTCTTGAAAGTCAGTGAAATAAGAGATTTAACTTTGTTTTATAAAATAGTTAACAAATTTATAGCACGTTGTGCAACGTTTATCTGCACCTTATGGTGATTGTCAGCGGGAGAAAAAAACAAATTCGAGTGTTTATATATACGGTGATTATGATTATAACCCTGAGGTCATTTTTAAATTTAAAGTAATAAGAAACCTTTAAGTTAAGTAAATTTTGATTCAATCAACAATTCAGTTTCTACCATAAATATACTTTATTTCTAAATTAGCTAGCCATAAAAATTTTCAGAGCTTCATTCTGTAAAAATCTTTTAAACTTAAATCTTACTAATCAATAATAGTATATTTTAGCTGTGAAATCAATTAATATTCAATCAGTAATATTCTATTTTTGTTCTAAAATCTTTTATGTATTTTAATACTCTAAAAATATTACTGAAAATAATGCATAATTTAATAAAATTACACAATATTTATACAAAAGCAAAGATTATTCTTTGAGGGATGCCATAGGAGTTGTTTTCAAAATACATTAATTGAAAAATGTGGCTGTGGTGATCCACGTTTTCCAGTGCCCAAAGGCAAAATGCACTGCTCAGCTTTTAATGCTACAGCAAGTAAGCAATCAAAACTATCAGTATTTTTCAATTTTGATAAATTTAAATACTATTCAAAAAAATTTATCTCACTAAAACATTTGCAACAAACAATTAAAAGTAATTTGAAATGATATTAAATTTTTCAATTAAGTCTTTAAGTCGGAATATATTTTATAACTTTGTAAAAAATCTTCAATAAAATAAAATAATTAAAATTATAGTTGTAATTACTTAAACAAATTACATGTAATAAATGATAATATTTGTTTTTCAAAATAATACAAACAATTTAGATTTTTAAAATTTTATTTAGCCGCATTTTTTTAAGTTAAAATTTGAAATTCATTTAATATTTGAATTACAGTTCTGTTAAGATGTATATTTTGTAGGGGATTGTTTGGAGAAAGTAATCGCTATAATTGGCGATTTTCATCACATTGCTGAAAGTTTAACAGATTGTACATGCAAGCAATCATGCGAACATGAAATTTATAGCGTTACATTTTCAGCTTCTAAATGGCCATCTGGTGCTACTGATGTTTGTCATTACTTAATATTCAATTTTATGCATTTTTATTAATTATAGACTAATTAATATTTCATTTTAATAGCGAATAAATCCTAAAAGTTTTTAAAATTTTTGAACTCTCAAATGCACTTATTTTTATGTCTGAGCAGTTAAATGCTCCAAAAATTTTAAGTGATTTTATGATATCAATTAATGATTTTAACTACAGTAATCAACAATAATTTTGATACATTGGTTTTTGGTTTAATACTAATAAAGTAGCAAAAGCAATAATAATAATATTAATATTAATAGTAATAGTAATAATTATAGTAATAATAAATAATTGGTTTAATACTAATAAAGTAGCAAAAGCAATAATGATAATGATAATAATAATAATAATCATTATTATTATAGTAATAATAAATAAATCAGCAAGTAATTAATAGTAAAAATAATAATAAATAATAAATAATAATAATAATAATCAGTAGTGAAAAGTTGAAAAGAAAGAAACATTATGGTAACAATAATAATAGCCATATTGCGGTTAATGTTGATCAGATTGCAAAAAATGATTATAGAAGTTTGGTTTGGTAGTAAAATGTTAGTTGTTTTTAGATACATGCCAACTCTTGAATATAAATATGTATAAAAAATAAATAAAATTTCTGAATATTCTCTATTTAAAATATGATAACGGTAGCAAATTTGATAGTAATATTTGTATACTGGTAAATATGGTGCAAAAGAACATGAAGTAATAATGAATTTGACAATAACGCTACTGTATTTTTGATTTTGATCATAAAACTGCATCAGTTGAAGCAATGAAAATGGTGATAATTATTAATTTTAAACGAATAATGAAATAATTATCATTTATCAGTAATTGAAAAATTATTCATAAATTTATTTAGTATATAAATAATAAATAGTAAAAATAAAAAAATAATAATAATAATAATCAATGGTGAAAAGTTGAAAAGAGAGCAAACATTTTACAGTGACTGACAAAACATTTTGTAATTAAATTAAATAAAATAAATTAAAATTTGTAATTATTAATTTAATTAAAATTAATAAAACATTCTATCCATCATTCGTAGTGATAGTTTTCATTAATTATTTGCATATTTTTTGAAATTTGCATAAATTGAGGATTAATTTTTAAAGTTTTTCAACTGCCATATATGGAAAGAAAAAATGCAAATATTTATCATTCATTTGAATAGCTAAACAAACACTTACTACACTACAAAAATACGAAAGCATACAAAAATACTAAATCGATTCGCTTGATTTTTTAATGCTTTTGACTTTTAGACGTTTTTTGGCTAATATTTCAATATTTTTGATTGGCTTAACTTTTATGCATATTTGTAGCTGCGAGGATCGGTAAATTTTACTTTTGATCTGATTTATGCATTAGTTTCAAATGTCTATGCTTGCCTTTAATTTATGAACTTGGTTAATCCTCAGATGGATCATTCATCATGTATTATCACAACTTTATTTTTGCTATCAAATTTTTTTCACATCTCACATTGCTGTATGCAAACTTTGAATTTAATCAATATTCAAATTTTCCTCATAAAACTAATTATCTTTCTGTTAATTTTATTAACACTTATCGTGAGAATTTTTTTAATAAAACGTGTCTAAGTTTTAAAATATTTTTACTAAAATTAATTTTTATTTCTTCCTTGCGCATGTTGTCATCTTCAATAATTTTTATTTGTTTCTTTCATTCTAAAAGTATTATTTATTAACCTCTCAATTATTATTTCTCCTGATATATTCTTGCATGCTACTGCTATTTTAGCAAGATTATTTTCAATAAGCTTCAATTTCAGCTTGGAAATTGCGATCCGAGCATGAGTGATAAGGAATGCGAATTGTTTTATAGCAAAAATGCTGCGATGGTTGAAGTTTATTATGAACAGTTAAATTATGAATTATTAAAAGAAACTGAAGCGTATGGGGTCAGTATATTTTGAAAATTAATTCTTATACTAATAAAGTAATGCGTTAATGTTATAATTTTATTTGCAATTATTTTTGTCAATTACTCAAAGTTTCACATTTAAATATTTTTTATATTTTATATTTAATATAATTTAAAAATTTATATCTTCTCAACTTTTTATATTTTAATATTTTTTGTAATTAAAAAATCTCACAGAGTTATTATTACCTTAACTTTACTTTACTGATATCATTTATGAATTATCATTAGAAATTATGATAGCAATGAAATGAATAATATTTCATCCCAAAATATTTTTAAAAAATTTCATTTTCTCAAAATAATTATTAATGCTTATGAATACACTTACTAATTCCACAAGTGTTAATCCCTATAATCCAAGCTAAACTGAAGCCTCATTATCAATTATACATCTTAGCAATTGTGCATAGAATATTTACTACTGATGACATCATTTGTTAATATCTATTCTTCTAGAAGTACTGATAATGGGTATTCATATATCTATTCATTTTTAATAAATATATCATCAAAATAATTCATAGTATTTATTACAAAGAATGAGCAATCATTACTGATGTGGTAATCATTGCTGAGTTATTTTCAGCTTGTAAATTTACTAGCCGACGTCGGTGGTCATCTTGGCTTATGGATGGGTAAGTATACTAAAATTATTCACAGAATATCTTTTAATTTTAAACTGTACGTAGAGAAGCAATGACTTTGTCATAATGATAACTTTAATTTCTATTTGAGAACTTACACTTACAATACAATACCAGAAAAAGCTTACAGCACTACAGTATGTTTAATACTGTATTAAACCAATACGATTGAACTTTTAAGTTTTTGAGTTAATTATTAATCTTACATTTTCATGATTAGTTGTAAAAAGTCAATTAGTATCGTTCAATATTCACAAATTAAATAAAATTTACTCTTTTTAGGTTTCAGTGTGATAACAATAATTGAATGTGCGGTTTTGTTTATTGATCTGATCACTTTGTGTTGTAAAAAACGAAAAGAAATGCAAAAGGTCAAGAGGTCAACAAGGAAACAAGACGAAATACTGGCAAAAAATGAAGACCAGAAAGACAAAAAATTTGAAGTTGATCAAAAAGCAACTCGTGAAGATAGTTTCTTAGCAAACCTAAAACATATTGATGAAAGTAGCCTTGTAATAACAACTTGAAAGGCATAATATCTACTCTTATGTGACGTTTTTACGTGATCGTACAATTTGCTTATAGATTTTGAAAGTATCTTATTAACTAAAAAAGCCGTTTTTACTAACTAATCTTGAAAGGACCTACAGCTAATACAATTCTTCTAATTATATTTCGCACGGATTTAGCTAGTTTGCATAGCTACTTTTATCTGCAAATATAAACTTGAACAGATAGAAAGTTTTATTTGTTTGTATGCTTTCTAAGTACCAAACATGGAATGTTATTCTACGAAATACTGTATAAAGTACAGTAATTTTGATGGCAAGTTTAAATTCAGCTAACGTTACTTTTTTCAAATTATAGATCAATTCTGACTTTGAAAGTAAGTATAATTAAATTTTTCGCAAGAACATATCATTAGTTTAATAATTTGAAAAATCATATGATTTTAGTAGTGTAAAGTAGAATGCATGCTGATAATCTGGTTAGTAGGGAGGTCATAAGGTTGAAATATTTAATTAGAGTACTTGAAAAAATTTAAGTAAATGATAGGTTTAATATAGTAAATAAATAACAGGTTTAGATTTTGAGCAGATATAGTTTAGCACTAAATGAACAGATTAGTGTTAAAATAGTTATTAATATTTGTAATATATAAATTTAATGATAATTTTTTAAGTAGAAATCCATTATAATAAAAAGTTGTTCATAGTTTTTATTTGAATTTATGTTTTGTTTTTTTTATAATTTTTGATTTTTTATGATCTCAAAGATTCATAAATTTGTTATTAGTGAATTTCACCTCAACATTTTTTCTTTGCATAACATTTGGATCACTTGATAAAGTATTGATAATTTATCAGATGTGATCAATAAATCTTGAGATCATCGAAAATATTTGAAATATATTTATTTATTGCAGTAGTAAATTCATTCAATTCTTTCTAAATAAATCATGAAATAATGATTGTGTTAAAAATGAAGGTCAAATATGAACTGAATTACAAATAGTAGATCAAGAAATAATTAATTTAAATAATTCTTAAACAAACTGGATTCGAAGATTTGAATGTGAAAAGACAAGAAGAAATGCTACTTGTGAATTATTTTTGAAGTAAGAATGTTTAGAAGATTAATGTTAAATCAAATAACTCTAAGTTGAAGTGTAAATATTTGAATATATGGAACAATTTCTGATCAAAAAGCGAGTATAAATAACACATGCAAATGTATTTAAGTAATATTCAAGTAAAATAATTTTGTTATTAACTTAATTTGTGATATTTCAATACGAATATAATACATTTTGTTATTATTTGTACAAAAATATATCGAAAATAATTTAAATTCTTTACTTGTATTCAAATTTTTTACACAATACTTGCAAGCTTTTTCTTATCACTTTGTAAGTAGATATTTTGCAAAGATAAAACTGAGACATTGGTTTTGAAATTTTCATTTGGTCATTCTTTTTGACCTTAGAAAAGGTCACACATTAAAAAGTTTGACAAGAGCAATAGATTCTATAGCACATTCGATTTAGCAAAAAAAAACCAGTTAGGAGGACTACCACAAGTATGAAAAAGTTTTCTGCAAATATATTCTAAGAGTATACTGAATTATTCATTTTTTTTTAGAGTTATTTATTACTTTTCCCGCTTAACATTAAACTAATTTTAACAAAAAATATAAATTTTAAATTAGTTTTTCAGTTGAAAATTCAAAATTTGTAAATTTAATATTAAAAAATAGATAAATTAAATGAATTGATTAGAGAGAAATTGTTATATCTTTAATCTAAGAACATGCTTAGCTTAGCTTAGCTTAGCTTAGCCTAGCTTGAAGAGAAGAAAGCATGAAGCGAAGATTCTGCGTACTTCTACAAAGTGTTGAATCATATCTCATGCATTATGCATTAGCAGTGAGAAGGCAACAACGAGCAGAGCTTATCTTTGCATACTTTTAGCAACGATAGCTTGATTTTGTTCTGATAGAAAACAAGCGCCAGAAGCATTCATTCTTCTGCACAATTTGTATGCGTTTGGTTAGAATATGCAAATTTTGCATCTCATTTAAAGCAGTTTCTCTTCACAACAGTACACAGATTCTTTTTAATCCCACCATTTCTCTTTTTTATTTTTCATCTTAAACTTACAATACGAAAAATACTACCATTG